ACCCTCTTCGATAACGATAGAAAAAATGTTCGATATAGCGCATGATATAGGCACGTGCTATGAGTGACGCAGACTGCACACACAAACACGAACACATGCTGAACTGAGTGCTGTGCCTGCCTGTGATGAGGAGATTGTGAATAAAAAAATGAATATTAGTCGAATTTAAAATAAACATTTTCATTTGAATGTTAGGAGTGTGTCAGGGAGCGTCATCAGTGGCGCGTGAGATGCGGTGATGTAAGTGACATTGTTGCATTTTAATGTTTTGTTAGTCTAGTCCACGAGACGCGCCGCTGCTGTGATATGCATTGAAAATATTAGAGAAATATAGAAGCTCAATGCGGAGAAGATCTTGATTAGGTTAAAACCGAAACCAATTCACACAGAACGCATATTCAGCACATTTTTTAGACGGACACATATGACTGCTGCACTTGCGTCTCACACAAGAGATGTATAGAAAGCCATGCAAAGTTAAAACAGTTTAAACTTTTAAAAAACACGTCATGGATTTGTGGAGGTTTACTCTTTTTCACTGCGTCTCATATGTTTTGAAATGCAATCTGTGTGAATGGCGCTTCGGCTCTTTGGATTAAGCAATGCATAAATACATGATGCTGTTTTGTTCATAAGTGTTTATGCAATTTACAATTATATTTGATTTTTATTTAGTTAAAGTTAGTTAGTTTATTTAGTTTTAGTTAATTTAGACGTAATGCACATCTTTTTTTATAGTTACTTCCTTGCGTTGACAATTTAAATGCGCTGCATTATTTTGCTCATTGCGCCCTCGGGAGACAAGACAAAAGTTTCTTTAAGACCTATTTAATCTGCATATAAAACATTAGATATGTTTAATTTTTATTTTGTGTTAAAACAAAAAATATGTGTTGTTTGTCTCAATAAATTGTGTTAATTTAAAAATAGAAAAACATTTTTTTTCTATTGCTGTTTTAAAAAAGGTTATAAAAAGTCAATAATTATCGATACCGAACTATATGAAACATTATATCGTTGATGCATTTTTTTAGCTATATCGCCCAGTCCTAATCTCTATCTTTCAATCTCTAGGTAATTGATGCTGCAAGGACCATAGAAGAGGTGCACAAAGATATTAAGCTTTTAAGTGAAGACATCATCAGTTTAGCCCAGAATCAGCCAGTTGGAGAGCTGTGGAGGTGAACGGATCACCTGAAACTTTTAATAAATACACTTTAAATGTTTTTCTTTTTTCTGTCACTATGTGGAATAGTACAGAAAATACAGAATTAGTTTTAATTTTTTAATGATTTGATTAAATAAATATTCATAAAATAAACTTGTGTACAGAGATTTGAAACATCAAGACAAAATCATTCTTGTATAATTACACAAGCCCATCCTACCCAATCTGCAAATGCCCAACCTTCCTTGGTTGTAATTTACAATGTCGTACAGGTCCAAAATTTCACCGACTTTCATTGGTTGAGAGTAAATGCTAAATCAAATCTGATTAGCAGGTCTCCAGACCAAAACCATAAAATGTGTTATGGCAAAGCGGTGTTTTAAGTTAAGGGGGTAAAAAGGCACCATATCACTTAAAAATTAATCTATAGTGTTAAGACTCAATATGGATACACATAAATGCGACTAAATACATACTGATGATCCTGAGTGCCTGTGACCATGACACCTGACCTCGGCTCACTCAGGGTGACACAGAGCAGTCAGCATAGCTGTTAAAGAAGAAAGCTATGTGTTTGATGCAGGTGACTATGCCATGGTGGCTTTGGACGTCAGTGGTATTCTTCTCGTTCCTCTGAAGAGGCTCTACCACAGAATTTTGAAAGTCTGGCAAATGCAAACGTTCTTCACAAGGACAGGATTTCAAATTCTTCATCCTCAGAATCAAAGAAGCGTTCGAGCCGGTCTGACTCCGAAAAGTCTGTTAAGGAAAAATGAAATATAATGTTGTGTATTTATACATGTAAGTCCCTGCAAACTCATACAATTCTGAATTTATGAACAAACAGTATACGAGATTACCTGGAGTGAGATTAAGTACATCTCCGGTAATTAGATGAGATGGCTGACTGTCTACCAATTCAAACATAGGAAGACCTCTACAGTTTGCAACCTGCACAAGGTAAACGCAAAAACAAAGAGTGATCCAAAGGTTCAAACACGAACTGAGGCTACTAAAAATGAAAAATTAACTTATGGCTTAAGTACCTTACGAATCTGTGCACACCAGTCATCAAAATCATCCTCTGTTTGACAGAAGAAGCCCTGATGGACAACATTTGGCATAGATGATACTGTTACTCAAAGGAAATTACTTTTTGCGGTTTTTAACAATAACTATTGAACAATTCAATCCCACATTTTTCCAAGACAAGTGAGTACACATTTGATCAGGAAACTAGGCGATTGATGATTTAGTACTCAAGAAACATCTTACTATTATCATAGCTGTCCTGCTTAATATTTTTGTGGATACCATGATACATTTTGGATTGGACTGGATTTTTATTTATTTTTTATTTTTTTAAAGGATACCATGATACATTTTGGATTGGACCGGATTCTTTGATAAATATAACAATTGTTTAAGAGAACAATTTATGTGAATAATTTTTTTTACAACATTATGAATAAACTGTCACGTTTGATCAAACGAATGGAATGTGTATAATACATCAACATCTTTTAAGACCATTCAAACCAAAAAATAAATTTTTGTCACAATGTTAAATGTTATGTGGGATTAAAAGGGTTAATTCACTACTGGGTGAATGTAAATGATACTGAAATTAATAATTTATGTCTTATACATAAAGCTCTACTTACAGCAGCAATGGAGGGGTCAAGCTCACAGATGTGCATTCGGCAGGGAGGGTGCTGGCAGTGGTAGGAGTCGTCTGGGAACTGACTGTCTTCATTTGGGTCCACAGCTGGCTGAGTGGTATGAGGGTCTAGATAAATGAGCTCATGACCTGTAGGGTACATCAGTAAGAAAAGATGAAGCAGTTTGAAACACAATATACTGCCATACAGCATTTCATATTTATATAATCTGTACTAAACCACAGATAAACCTTCTAGCTACCACAGTATAACAGCAGTGGTTCAGATAAACAAAGATGTGTTTGTATTACTTTAATAATAGGGTCATTCCATGTCAACTCAACCAGTGGTCCTCGGCTCAAATTTTTTGATTTTGTCAATGTTTTTTCTGAGGAAAGATAAACATTTATAGTGATGAAAGCCAAAAAATTAAATGTCATGGATGAATATTTACGGAGTAATCCACTATTTTGTAGACGGTGGTCAAAATGGCAATTTTCACCCGAGATTCAGAGCCAAATTACAGGATGGCAAAAATGACTAGAAAGATTGCAGCATCATTATATTATTTTACACAGAGATCAGTATGTCTATTAGTAAAATCTGTTGACTTTAACAATCTTTGTTGCATTATACAGTGCTGCTTGAAAGTTAGTGCACCCTTTACAATTTTCTATATTTCTGCATACATATGACCCAAAACATGATCAGATTTCTGCACAAGTCCTGAAATTAGAAAAAGAGAACCCAAATCAAACAAATGAGACAAAAATATTTTCTTTGTTATTTATTGATTGAGAAAAACGATCCAATGTTACATATCTGTGCATTGCAAAAGTATGTGAATCTTTGCTTTCAGTATCTGGTACCAAATTAACAGCTAATCCTACAGATTCACATACACTGGATCATACATGTCTGAGTGCCATAAATATTATTTTTCCAAAGTGTGCATGTCTGTAACTCAAGAAGTATTATAAATTTGTTTTCTTAAACTTTTCATTTGTAATCTTCATTTTTAAGGCCCTATATTGTTCGATTCCAGAGATATGGGAAGCCCAATGTGACTCAGTGTCCAATTTGTTGAATTTTATTTTCATTTTCAATGGTTGAAAACCGAATGTGGTTTTCAAACACTTTGCATTCAGCTGATCCTTTTTGTATTGAAAGAACATAGGCTGAAGAACAAATGTAGAAATGTAGCTTGTTTTTCTCTATCAAGACAACTGCACAGAACACACTTGTCTTAGTGCTAAAAGTTTTCTTTTTATGAAATGACTACTGAGAGCAAGGTAATGTGCCTCAACTTGACCATTTCATTGCATTTTTAGCACTCAGACATAAATGGGTCATTCCGTGTCAACTCAACCAGAGGTCTCCGGCTCAAATTTTTGATTTTGCTCATATTTTTTTCTGAAGAAAGATAAACATGTATAGTGATGAAAGCCAAAATATTAAATGTCATGGATGAACATTTACGGAGTAATCCACTATTTTGTAGCGGGGGGTCAAAATGGCAATTTTCACCTGAGATTCAGAGCCAAATTACAGGGGGTTAAAAATGACTTCAGAAAGATGGCAGCATCATAATGTTATTTTTACACAGAGATTGGTAGGTCTGTTAGTAAACTCTGTTGACTTTATCGATCTTTGTTGCATTATGTGCCAATGGTGACCATTCAAAAATGGGGAAAGAGCACTTTTCAAATTTTTCCTCCAAAGTTTGTAGGCCTATAACTCAAAAAGTATTAAAGATATCTTAATGCCCTTTTAGATATTGGGTCTTAACAAACTTTCCTTTTGGCATCTTCATTTTTAAGGCCCTATATGATTCAGTTCCAGAGATATTGCAATCTCAACATGGCTCCAAGAGTAAATCGTTACACATTTTCAGTGGTCACTTTGCATTCAGCAGATACTTTTTTTTTTCTTTTAAAAAGGAAGGTCTGAAGAACAAATAATGTTGAAACTGGAAATGTATCTTGTTTTCCCTCTATCAAAACAACTGCGTAGAACATACCTGTCCAAGTACCATAAATATTATTTTTCCAAAGTTTGCATGCTTGTAACTAAAGTAGTATTAAAAATATCTCAATATTAATTTAAATTCTGGTTCTTAATAAACTTTTCTTTTTTAGTCTTTATTTTTAAAGCCCTAAATGGTTCAACACCAGAGATATGGGGAGCCCAATATGACTGTGACCAATTTGTTGAATTTGGCCCATTTTCAGTGTTTGAAAACCAAATGTTAGTCACTTTGTATACAGCTGATACTCATTACATATAAAAGGCAATGTCTGAAGAATAAATAATGTTTACATGCGCACATTTGTTCTATGTAATTTTTTTGATAGAGGGAAACAAGCTACAATTCTAGTTTCAACATTAACAACATTTAATATATTGGATTTCATCACCATATGTTTATTATTCTTTAGAAAAAAATATTCAAAAATTTAAGCTGGAGAAATGACCCAATAATAGTATATTAAAAAAATAATTCAGTGCACAAAACACATTGTGATGGACAAACAATGGTTCCATGAATGTAGTCTGAGATGCACAGTCTTTCATCATGCAATATTTTTATTTGTGGTTTTAAGAATAAGGGCATGTCACAATACCTGTAAATGTTGGCATCTATGTAATTCAACTAGCTTCTACCATGTAACTAGACAAATTTGCGACAAAATACCATAGACATTGATTGGGCATGCATTATTTTGTTATGCCAATAACAAAGATATGCAAAGAGTTTACTTATTTACTTACTTTGCTATTGGAACTGACTTTTTATAGGTTTAGCTTGAAAAACTCTGCTTACCTACAAAGCCAATGAAGTAGTGAGCGCTGTTCGGCTTCCCACCTATTACTCCTAAAGACTGAGGCATCATGAAGCATTGCTGTGGATAAGACAAGAATAAAGAAGAACAGTCAGCAAACTTGAATAGGTGATCATTAAAGCAATAATAGATGAAGAATTAGTATCTTACTCAGACTTACTGTCTGATCTTAACAGTTGAGTGTTTTATCTATTCATACGACAGATAATGTTATAGATTTACCTTGAGTGGTTCAAAATAGGCTTCGTTTATGTCACTGAGGCCCAGTCTTAGAGGAATCAGCAGAACAAGGGGTTTCCACAGAGCCGTCTCCTCTTCTGCCATAGCGCAAGCCCCTTCTAGATCACCATTCATTTCCCGAGGCTCTTCAGAAGCCGCACATGCACCCCTGTCAAAGTCCAGCCACGGCATACACAACCTCTCTACAGACAGCCAAGAAAAAACATTAAGTCATTTACTCTAACAACCTTGAAAGAAAAAAACAACAACTATTCAGCCTGTAAAATTGTTTTCACAATTTACGGTCTCAAAATGTATAATATCTTACGACACTTTTGCCCAGTGCATGTTTACATGTGCAGCTATAATTGAGCT